CCCCATTCCCTCCACAGGGTGGGGCCAGGGCACCCCATACCCGTCATGGTCCAAGCAGGGTTGGCTTAGGAAGGGAGTCAGGGCTGGTGGGGGGGGACGGACCGTGCAGTGACACCCCAATAGGGTGCTTTGCCCAGGCTCGGATGTGGCACAGGGTGGGCAGCACCAGGAGCAGTGATGCTTGAACCCCCCCCAACATGGTCCCCATCGGGGTTGTGGGGAGGGGGGAAAAGGGGAGACCCCGCCTCAGGGCTTGGGGTGGGGGGGGAAGCGAAGGGGAAGAAAGAAGCTTTTGTCCGGGGGCTCTGAACCTTGCCGGGGATGGGGAAATTCGCTGCTTTCTGATGCTAATGAGATGTTAAAAATAAGCTCCTGCGCAGCGCAGCCGTGGTGGGGCTGCTCCAGCGTGGCCGGACAAAAGGGGCTTTATGGGGCTGGAGGGGGGTACACAGGGGGTGCCCCATTCCCACCCAGGGCTTGTGGCTCCCCCAGGACCCCATCATCCACCAAGGGCAAGAGCCAGGGTACAACCCCTGACACCCTCCCCTCAGCACAAGGCTCCTTGGGGGTGGTGAACCCCAAAAACCTCCCCAGGGCTGCCCAAAGGGGTTGGGGGAATCTCAGCTCCAGCCCCCAGGCTGGGTCCGACTGAGAACCAAGAGGAGGCCTCAGATGTTGGATCTCAATGGGGGTCTTTGTCCCCATGGCAGGGGCACTAGGGCAAAGCCCTGCCCCAAGCCTAGAGCCAGGACAGCAACAGGGGGGGACTCTGGTGCACCCCAACCCCTCCTCACTGCTCACACCCAGTGATGGAGGAGGAAGAGGAAAGGGAGAGGCGGGAGATGCAGGCTCAGCCCCATTCTGTCACTCCACAGCCTCTGATCTGCCAAACCCGGGGGTGTTCAAAGCATCAAACACAGAATTAGGGGGGGGGGAAGCACCACACAATGGGGAAAGGAAGGGATGAGGGGATGCTGGAGGCAGGACAGCGGCATCTCCATCCCTTGGGTCCCCCCCTCCCATCCCATAGCGATGCTGCAAGGCAACACACAGCACATAAAGCAATTTCTACCGAGTTTATTTCAAACCCCCACTCTCTCCCCTTCTCCCACCCCCCCCCCCCAAAAAAAAATACCCCCTAAAACCATACCCCATGAGTCAAACCGACGCTGGAAATGAGCTACAACCACTGGAATCCGCTCTCCCTCCCCGAAAGCAAAGGAAAACCAACCCCGAACCTGGGACTTCCACACCAGCTTCTCCCCACCCAGGGACCTGCAGCAGCTCCAAACGGCTCCACCCCAGAGGCCAAACATGCCTTTAATACAATATATACAGCCAAGCCCCGTTTCCCACCCCCAAAAAGAACCAAACACACCCCAAAAGTGCTAGGGGTGGTGTTGGTATCAAAAGCGGCCCCGCTGGCGGCAGGGCTGGATTGAACCTTTTCTGTGACTTTTTTAATAGAGTTTAGGAAAATAAATTATACAGCAACTATCTGAATAAATTAAAAGCACGCACACGCACACACACCGAGTGAAAAGGGGCAAAGGAAGCAACGCTGCTTTGCTACCCAAGGGGGGGGGGGTTAAAAAGAGTCCTCGGCCATGAGCAGCACCAGGAGCTGCCCCCCCAAAGTCTGCTCCTTCCTCCTCTAAAGGCAAACCCGGCTCCCCTGGGGGATGTTGGTTTTTGGGGGGGATGCTGTGGGTCAGGGTTGTGCTTTTCAGCTGGAGGCACAAAGTGGGGGGGACCCCCCTCTCTCATCAGCAGGGGGTGGTTGGGGGGGTCCCACCTGCCCCATCTCACCTGGAAGACTCTGGATGAGGAGCGTGGGGCTGGGAAGGGCTCTAGGGGATGCTTGGATAGATGGCTCCAGCTCTGGAAGGCCCTGAGGGGCTCAGGTGGGTGCCAGCATCCCCACACTGAGCCCTCCAAAAGGTCTGGGTTTAAGGGTAAAATCATCCCAAAGGCAGACCTGAACTGGGAAGAAGGAAGGGAAAGGGTCAGCTCCCTTCCTCGTGGAAGCAGGACGATCCTTCCTTCTGCAAACCCAGCTTTCCAGTGGTTTCCTCCCCAAAACGCTCCCAGCCAAGACCCACAGCAGAGCCTGCGCATCCCCCTGCACCCCTATGGTAACAAAGGTCCCCATCAAAACCACCTTTAGGGTCTAAAACCTGGCCCCACATGGGAGCACCCCATGCCTGCTGCTTTCAAACCCACTGATTCTCTCCAACCTGAGCAGCTCAAGGCGGCTCCCACCAACCCAACCCAAAGAGGAATCCTTTTTATCCCTTCTTTTGGCCTCAGAAAGTTTGAGTTTTCCCTATGGAAAACTATCCTGGGCTTCTTGGAATTCCCTGTTGAAGTGAAGCAGGCTGCAAGGGAGAGGAGCAAAGTGGGACCTCGCTACCCAGGTCCACCACGCAGCTGAAGGCTGTACCCATCCATCTGGAAAAGGAGCTTTTCCATGGATGCTCTCTGTGCTTTGGTAGCTTTTAGATGGTCCATTTCATGGATCATCGGCCCCTGGTCCCTGATGGAGGAGGAACAAGCACCAGCTCTGCAGAATTCAAGGTTGGAACAAAGGAGGCTCTAAAGTTTGGTTCCAAATCAGCAGGATGAGAGCATCCTCCAGAACCATTCCAGGCAGGATGCAGACATTACCTGGTCCTTCCCCAAACAGGGATAGGGATGCGTTGGCAAGACGGGATTGACCTCTCCAAGATCCCACCACAAAGACCCCTCTGCTTGCTCCACTCACATCCAGCCTCAGAACAAGAGCTCTGAACCTCCTCCATGCTCCAACAGATCAAATCCCTCCCCTTACACCTGGATGGGAAGGAACTCTGGGAACAGCTTTACTTTAACTGGATTTCAAGGGAAGGCTGTTAACTCCAGTTACCCTTGGGATCACATCCAGCACTATCAGCCCCAGTGGCCTCCGACCACGCTCCAGCTCTCCTGAAGCAAGGAGGGCAAGCATTGCCCCTAAGGCCTGGCTGCTGCTTCGGCAGCTCTGAAAGCCACAGAGCCAACCCCATCCACCTCAAGGGGAGCTCTGGGGGTAACATGGGGAGCTCCTGACCCACCACAGAGCAGGGCTGTGTGTTTCGACCCCAGGCAAGCCCAGCGGTGGGACTCTGCACTGATTCCCAGCACCAGTTTTCCCTGGTTGGCTTCTTCCCCTTGCCAAACCCAGCCTGTGCTTCTCCATCCCGGAACAGGGATGGAGGGATGGAGGGATGGAGGGATGGAGGGATGGAGGGATGGAGGGATGGAGGGATGGAGGGATGGAGGGATGGAGGGATGGAGGGATGGAGGGATGGAGGGATGGAGGGATGGAGGGATGGAGGGATGGAGGGATGGAGGGATGGAGGGATGGAGGGATGGAGGGAGTGAAAACAATGCCGTTACCATCACACTAGGGAGAAGACCAGCTTCTCCCCAGCTTTGGCAAGGGGAGACTCCCAGCTCCAGGCCATCACCTATCCATGCCATCCCATCCTTGCCTCCGGGGTCAATTTGGGAAGCTTGGCAGGACACACACGCTCCAAGCACGCTGCTCTGCACTGGCATAGGGCTGGGCATGACAGACACCAGGCTTGGCTCTTGGGGAAGCTTTTCCTTCCCAGCATATGGCTGAGTTGGAAGAGCCAGACCTTCAGCACACGGACAGCCAGGCTGCTGTGGACACTCCGCTTTCACCTGCACAAGATGCCTTTCCCCCCCCGACATTCACACCGTGCTGTGCGTTTCACTCGAAGCAGTTGCATTCGTTTTGCAGGCTCTGCTGGTAACCGGCTGCGAGCTGCAGGTCTACAGCCAAGGGAGGGAACATCACCATTCCCCAGGCAGGGACACGGGGAGCTGTAGGCTGGATTAGCTCCCATTTCACCAAGGGTCAGGATATGCCGATGAGCACACCTTGGGGCAGCTCCCGATAAGCCCTGCCCCAGCCATGGGACACAGTCAGCAGTGAGCAGTAGCCTGATGAGGTATTTCTACACGATCTGAAGCTCAGTTTGTTTCATCTGGAAGCCAAATCCTTTTAAAAACCATCCTTTCTCCTCAAAGGCCAAAAACGGAGGCCAGAGGGGACGGTGAGGGGAGGAAGGACAGCGTTTGTTAGCACCCATCGTAGCAACACTTGGCAGAGGCAATGGGGGGGGGGGTTCCTCCAGGCTGCTTTAAGATCCACAGGACTGTGCCTGATTTAAGGGCTTGGATCATTCTGCAGGGCAAGACCAAAGTCCTGGCAGCTCCCGAGTACTCACAGGGTGCTCAGCTCCACAGGCCCAGGCCACGCAAGAGCATCCTATCTTCAGCCCACACTGCTGCAGGGTTGAGAGCACAGGAACCTTTGCTCATGGAAATGCAGGAGGAAAGACGCTTCTCAGCATCCCTTGGAGCAAACTTTAAACTTCATGAAATGCAAACTCTTTGCAGACCAGGATTTGAAGGGGTGAAGGGGTCTTTTAGCCAATGCCAAGCCCAGAAACACAGCAAGAGCAACCACCTCTCTTGGCTTTACTGTTTCTGAACTGCTGTGGTTCCGGGGACATCCCAGGGAGAGGAGGGAGCAGCAAGCTCAGAGCTCAGATGCTGCTCCAGGAGAAGCCTCACTTAATCTGCTTCTGGCTCCAAGTCAGCCTAGAGATGCCTCTTAATGCCCCAGCAACTCCCACAAAGCCACTTCATTCACAGCTTCTGGAGACAGCCAGAGAAAGGCTGAAAGTGCACATCCCGTGGCTCTGCAGGACTGAGATGGCTGGAGCAAGTACCTTTGGTCCACGGACTGCAGCTGCAACCGCAGCTTTGCCACCTTCCTTCCACTTAGCAGAGGCTCAGCCAAACCTTCCAGTGTTTGCTAAGGGGACGATGCCCCCTCAGAAGAGCAGCCCAGGATTGCAGTGCAGCAGCAGCAGCCATTCCCTTTGGCAGAAGGCTCCACGATATCCAAACAGGCTCCCGTGCTCTTCCTTCCTTCCTTGGGCCCATCCTGCAAATCCCAGTTGCAAAGCTCAGCTGCCCGCTGGTTCAGAGCTCCATGCTTCCCAGAGCTTATTCCACATAGCTGCAGGTCACCGTGGCTCAGGCTTGCCTCCAAGCAGCTCTCTGCCTGCATCTCCCCATCAGTAAGGGCTCAAGACCAGTCTTGCCATCCCACCTGGAGCAATGACCTTCCCAGAGAGTCCCCATCTCTCTTCCTCTCCCCCTTGAAGTTTCCAAGGGAGGACAATAAACTTCAGCTCATCATAAGACAATTATTTCTCATGCTGAAAAATAAAACCAAACCCAAAAGACATTGAAAAATAAAACTTTCCCAAAGTCATAAATAGTGCCAGGACATTCTTGGTTCCGCAAGGAGTCCACGAGCCGGGCTCAGCTGTCTCCCCTCTCCCTCAGGCAGGAGCTGAGGCTCTTGTTCCCCCTTCCACTGCGCTTCTCAGGAGTCTTGAACCCTCTTCTCTGTACAAAAGAGCTCGAGAGCAGAAGCAGCCCCGCAGAAGCAGGCTCCCCGTGCGTGCCTCCTTCCACCACAGCCAGGCTTGGGCTTACAGGATGGCAACAATCAAATTCCTAGTGGGGAGAATAAAGGGGAAGAGGGATCAAGCAGCCTGCGGGATCTGCCCCAGGCTCCAGCTGGTTTGCACAAGCATGAGCACAGGTTTGTATGGGCCCAAACGTGCACAAGGAAAGCTATGGTCAAGCCACAGCTCCTCTGGGAGGGTTTTGTGCTTTCATTGCAATCCAAGGGAATAGGATGATCTGTGTTTGACCCCACAGAGCAGCAGCACACACGTACCATCAGTGACAGCAACAAGGTGAGTGAGGCAGCCTCGCTACGTGGAGGATTCGGTCTCCTGCTTCTGTTTGGAGATGAGCTGAGCTTCCTTCAGTGACAGATACACCTCCTCCTGCGGGTCGTAGTAGTAGAACTTGCGGATGTAGGAGATCAGGGGCCTGGGGAAGGAATGGGCAGAAGCTTTAACCCTGAACCACCACACCAACCAGCACCAGGATAACCAGAACCTCTCCCCCAGCCCACCCACATCCAGCAGGAACAGGAGCCTGTACCCCAAAGCTTTGCCATAGGCAGGTAGCACCTCACTCCCGAGCTGGTCACCATTCCTGTACACATCCCTACACACCTCAGGATATTTATCATGTTATCCCAAGGCTGAAGAAGCCAACTATTTAGGGGGCCTATAGGGATGCTGGGGAGGGACTCTTCATTAGAGACTGTAGTGACAGGACAAGGGGTAACGGGTTAAAACTGAAACAGGGGAAGTTTAGGTTGGATATAAGGAGGAAATCCTTTACTGTGAGGGTGCTGAGGCACTGGAATGGGTTGCCCAGGGAGGTTGTGAATGCTCCATCCCTGGCAGTGTTCAAGGCCAGGTTGGACGAGGCCTTGGGTGAGATGGTTTAGTGTGAGGTGCCCCTGCCCATGGCAGGGGGGATGGAACTGGATGATCTTAAGGTCCTTTCCAACCCGAACTGTTCTGATTCTATTCTATTCCCTCCCAGAGCCCTCACTGCAGGTACAGACAACTTCTTGCTCCTAAGGTGAGGGTCAGGGAGGAAACCAAAGCAACTTACTTGGGCAGCGGGAGCTCGGGAATGTGGTCTATTCGGACCAACTGCCTGATCCGAAAGCGGCAAAGGTGCTGAAGGGATTTGACATTGCTGAACCTGGAGACTGGATACAGCAGCTGCACGGGCGTCGGAGGGAGACCTTGGGAATAAAGCAGTGTTGGAGGTGTTATGTTAGAACGAAACCACTCCTGATGCAGCAAGGAAAAGCCGGAGCTCTCCGCAAGGCTGCAGTTGATAGCGCGTCATCCCAGGAGCCCGCTGCTTTGATGCTGCTTGGGACTGGGGAGCCAAACCTTCCAGGGTTCAGCCTTCCCCACAGTGCAGCACCGGTTTGGAGGTCATGGGGTGACTGTGGCAAAGCAGATCCTGGGATACCACAACCTCCCAACCAGCCCTCTCCGTGGAGTCGTAGATGAAGCATTGCTTATACTGAGAAGCCCCAGAGCCTGGAAGGGAGGCAGGAGGAAGGCAAAGGAGAGGGCAGGCAGCATGAGCCGCACGTAGGCTTTGCTCTGCATGAGCCTCTGGGCAGTTCTTGCGCAGCATTAAAAAGCTGGAGGATTTGGCCAGCTCAAGCTGCTCATTCTTGGGGTCACGAGGCTGGGCACAAAGGCAGCTCCCCACGCAGGCAGCAGCCTCGCAGGGCTGGAAGCGAGTTGCATCCAGCTTTCCCTCCACCCCACCTCCTCCATCAGCGTTACAGGCAACAATCGAGCCCTCAGAACCAAGGGGTCGGTGCAGGAGCACCAGGGAGGCTCTTTGGGAGCTGGGTTCATTCACAGCACAAGGTTTTATCTGTCTTTGCAGCGGGATTCAAAGCCAGCTACACTCTAACCCCCTCCTGCTGGCTTGTCTCCGAGGGCAATGGAGAGAAAGGAGAAAAGGGAAAGCTCTTCACACTAAGATGGGCTCAAAACTGCTCCGGGCAGCTCAGGAAGCTGTGAGCCAGCTTTTGAGAAAGCAAAGAACAGCGATCAATTGAAGGCTGGATTCTCCCCCCCCCCTTCCCATCTCCCCTATTCTCTTACAGAAAGGAATTAGCCTCTGGGAGCTCAGCCAGCAGCTACGGGGCGGCAGCACGAGCTCCGCACACTGAGCTCGCCACATGCCTCGCTGCCAGGAGCCAGATGCGAGCTGGAAACTGCCCCTTCCTCCGAGCAGCAGTTAACGTGCGGGCAGGAGAACAGCACCAAGGAGCACACCGGGGCACGCAGGTCCTCAGGGTTCCCCCATTGAAGATGAAGCATCGGGGCGAGACCCCGGTTTGCACGGATCAAGGAGCAGCGACTCGAAGAAGCGCCCGGGTTCAGTGCTGCACCCGGATGGAGAGGTGCAGGACCAGGAGCCAGCACAGCCTATGGGGGGGGGACCCTTCAGCACTGCTTGGTGGGGCTCTTTTCTTGGTATTTTCTAGAGCAAGTGCTTTCTGAGGTATTTCCCTGGAGGCCTCAGCCCTCAAAGCCCTATTCTCAAGGGGGAGAGGTGTCAGGATCAGGAAGGGAAAGCATCTTGAAGTGGAAAGGATTGTTTGAAGGGAGGATACATTGCAAAACCAGCTTCCTGTCCCTCTCCTCCCAAAGCACAGCCATGTTCTGCATCAGCTCTCCAGTTATTGGCAGTGCCTGCAGCAGAGGGCAACACTGAACAGATTCAGGCTGCGATTCCAGCACTGTTGGGAACCCTGCAGAGGAGCATCCCATCCCTCCTCCAGACCAGAAACTCTTTGGGCCAAATCCTCTCCATGCTGCAGTGGCACAGAGGTCACCATCAGGGTCTGCAGGCACAATGGCAAAGGAGATAGGGAACAAATTTACTGCAGGAATCCTCACACTCATCAGTCCTGCTCCCCTCTGCTTCACTGCCATGACCCACCTCACCACGGCAGCGTTCCCATTCCTGCTCCCTTTTGTTCCCAGCATCCCCACTCACCCGCCCTCCAGATCCTGTTCCCCACTGCTGCTCCCTCACAATTAAGGGGCACATTTGCCCACTTGGCAAGCTCTCCCCTTCCTTTCACACTGGGTTTTTTTGGCCAGCTTGCTGGTACACCAGGACAAACGAGTGAAACAAAAAGCACCGAGGACACTGGTCCAGTTGCCTGCCCAGATTTAGCAGGCAGGAGATGCGAGCCCATTTAAGGGGCCAAAGCTTGATGGATGGGGAAACAAGCACTTTGCAATCCCAGCAGCATGCAATCAAACATGCTCCAACAAAGCTTCGCTAACACTCCCTCCCTTGCTTGCAAGCACCTGCCTGTTGATGGGCTCTGGCATCAGGGTCCCCCCCAGGGACTCTGAATCTACAGCATCTATCAAGCGAGCTGGAGGCTCACTTTGAGCTCACACTTGGAAACGTTCCCACAGCTCAGCTTAATGTCTCTCCCTCCTGACAGCCCCAGGTGGGTTTCAGCTAAGGGAGAGCTGGGAAACTACAAAGTATGGAGTGGTTCTTAAGAACAGCAGCACTGAGACTGGGGGAGGGAAGAGAGAGGAGCTTTAGTAGCCAAACAGCTGCTTGTTGAGGGAGTAGCATTCCAGTCTCCAGCTCCATTTGTCATAGTGTGAGTTTGTATTATGCTTCCACACTCCTGGAAAGGAAGTTTCAGGAGGTCTCCTTACCACAGTAAGTGGTGCAAGGGATGTGCTCCTCAGGATCCTTCTGAAGTCAGTGGGCAAGGATGCGGAGCAGGATGCACTGAGCCCATCCCAGCAAAGCCACATTAAACTGGCTCTCTAGGACAGACCAGCAGCTGATGACAGAGTAAAGCCTCCCCCAGAGGCAGAGCAGGACACTCACCTGGAACCCTGGATCGGAGGAAGTAGAGGAACTTCCCGTTTTTGGAGTGCATGATTGCTCTCTTTATGAACTCCACCACGGACTGGCAGCGGTCTTCAAACTTGGGATGGCACCAGAGGCTGAAGGTCCCTTCCAACAGAACAGAAAAGGCCTCAGGTTACAGGAGCACTGGTAGCAAGAGGAGCCATTCAGCCATGAGTGATGCTCTCAAAGGCCAGGTGAATGCCCCAGGCAGACAACTTAACCTAGGAAGGGCACTAAAAGGAAACACCAGTGGCACCAGCTTGCGAAGATGCTGTTCCACTGGAACCAGTACTCTATAACCCAAGGATGACCTCAGGTCAAGCTTACCTGAACTTGCGAGCAGCCTGCAACAACTGCTGGCTCTAAAACTACCAAAACATATTGGAACAGAGCATTAAGAGATGCCCCTGCTCCTCTGCAGCATCCCCTCAACAGCACTCGCAAAGCAAGCCGCCGCATCGGAGCGCTTCAGCCCACACATAGGGGTGTATGTAAAAAGCAGTGAGGCAGGTGTTGGAGTCCTCTTCTGCCAGCCCTAGGGCTGTCAAGGATCACTTATTTCAGCAGCTTTATGTCCTTGCTGGCTGTTCCAAACCCCTTAATCCAAATGACTGTCGAGCTAGAAGCAGGGGCGAGGCACACGGATGCAGCCCTGCCTGTGCTGCCACCCGACGCGGTGCATTGAGCTGGAGCAGCACTGGAGAGGGGCCACGGGGGGCAAGCAGGCCCTCTACCCTGCTTACAGACCTCCAAACAGGTTGAGTTGAAGCCTCACATCAGATCGGTGTCACAGGCTTCGTGCAGCAAGCAGACACCTCCTTCCTTGCACCAAAACGCAGCCATTTAGCCCCTGTCGTCAGCCAAATCAGAGGTACCCAGGCCAGCAGCCTCCCCCCAGCACCATCACAGGCTCTGCAGCACCAACCTGCCACAGGAAGATGAGAGGAAGGAGCTCTGTTGGATGGCCAGCACTCACAGCTTTATGCAGGGTGGACAGCAAGCAGCAATACAGAGCTATAGACAGCCCACAGCTTGCTCCAGTAAGGCTTTACTGGGAGGAGATACCTCTCACCCTTGCCACAGGCCAGTTTGGGAGCAGTGATCTGGGTTAGCACGTGCTAAACGTCCAGGATCAGCAAGCACAGGTAATTCTTGGGAATCCTGGTCCTGTATGAGCCCTTGGTCAGTGACTGCAAAGGACAAGCACCAGCATCCCCAGCCTGCCTAAAAATAGACAAATAAATGCTGGTTTCTTCTCCTCATCTACTTAAAACCTGAAGGTCAAGCACTGCTCTCTTACCATTCCCCCAGCCTCACCATTTATCATCTTCATTGGTTTAGCAAAGTGCTCCAGTCTGCAGTTTTCCAGGGTGCTGCAGCCCATTCAGCACAAGGCAGCCAGGCCTGGGGTGTGTGTGGGGGGGGGGGAGCCCAGGGCTGCTGCCCCACATAGACCCAAGCACTGCACCCAAAAAATGCACTCCTTGATGTGATGCCATGGCTGGGAGAGATGCTCGAGGGAAGGTGGGAGCACCAAGCTCCATCCATGCAGCAAGAGAAGAGTGAGGAAAGGGAAGGATGCTGGGCTAAGGATGCTCAGAGAAGGGAAATATCCCAACCCCAAAGTAAGCAGCCAGACAAGCTTGCTCCAAAACTCATTTACGGAAGAGAATCCATGGCACAGGCAGCCTCCCATCCCCTCCACCTGAAAGAGATTCATGCAGTTTCTATACAAAGCCAGGGTGATGAAGATCCTTCCTTCTCAAGCAATGGTCAGGGACAGGGGAACCGGCTCTAGAGGGGTTACAATGAATATTGGGCCACTTCCCCATCCGAGGGGCTCCAGAGCAGAAGAGCTGCCAGGTTTGCCTAGCACAACTGGAAGAGAACAGCAGCATCCCTGGAGCAAGGACAAGGAGAAAAGGATGAGCTTTGCTCTGAAGGGCTGCAAACCACTGTTTTCTGCAGCAGGTTGGCTGGGAAGCCTCTGACCCTATTATTTGTTAATGACAAGGCTCTCTAGGCAGCTGTTATTAAAGCTTGCCCACTGGTCACAGGGCAGCTCCATGGAGCCTCTTGGGCATTATCCTCAGCCTGAGGACAGTGCGCACGAGGGGTCAGTACAGGAAACCACACGTGGAGCTAAAGCCTCAGCCTGGGACCTACTGCAGGTGATCCCACTGCTAAGCATCCCTGGGCAGGGGGAGAACCAAGCAAGGTGCTGAGCTGCCACACGTTGAGATCACTTCTCCTTTCGCAGGGAGAAAAGCTGACGGGTGATGGCTTGTGCTGTACCTCACATCCCAGTGACACAGGGTCCCAAGGATCCCGCCATCCTCGTTTTCTTCAGGCCAAGTTTTCCAAAGCAAGGCCTGAGGGAGCTCTGGTGCTCCCCAGTTTCAAGCAGAGTTGCTTCTTGAAGCCCAAGAAGCACAGACAAAGCCGGCTTCTAAGGCCTCTCACAGAACCTCAGCACAAGAGTGAGGACACAGTCATGCTGCTCCCCTTCTTTCACCAGCTCTGCACCCAGAGCACTGCTTTGGGACCTTGAGATCAGACTGGTCCCCAGCCACAGGTCTCTGTGGTCAGCAGCATCCCCAGAACCACCCATGCATGGCTCTTACCTCTGTAGTGCTCCATCCTGGTGTGATGGGTGATGCCCTGCGACCGAAAGCTGAGGCTCAGGATGTAACGAGGGTCAGAACTGTCTCGGACCAGAAAGGACCCATCTGGTTTCCCCTTCAGCTTCATCTCTGCATCCTCCCAGTTCATCGGTCCCCAGTACCAGCCACACTAGGAAGAGAGACAGCAGAACATCAGCAACCAAACACAATAGGAATTGCTCCCGTTGTTAATTCCTTTTAAGTGCTAAATTGGAAGTGCCCTGTTGTGTCCAACCAGGAGGAGGAATGGCTGGGACTTACTCCTGGATGAGAGTGCACCATCACATCCCTTACCACCTAAAAGCGGTGAAAGAACAGATGAGGTGAAAGCATTCCATTCCACACTCGAAGACCTCACTGGGAGAAAGGCAGGAGGCTTTTTCCAGTCCTACCCTAATCTTGTGCTCCCAAGTCTACGCACTTCTAGTGTGAGGCATCCCTGCCCATGGCAGGGGGTTGGAACTAGATGATCTTGAGGTCTTTTCCAACCCAAACCACTCTATAAAGTCTGTAAAGGGGACGATTAGACCCAAAAGCAGAGCTTAGACCCAGAGCCTTTCCCTTGGGGCTGCTGCCACCAACCCACATCCCCGTTACCTTCTCCAGCTCCCGCAAGCTGGCTGCGAAGCTGCTGGAGTCAGGGCGGTACAGGGGGCACTGGAGGTGCTGGGTGGGCTGGCCGGGCATCGCCTCCATGGGCCTCAGAGGGACAATCCGTGGGAAGGCATCTGCAGAGGGAGACACAGCCCAGGCCTCGGTCACCCCTTGGGGAGCTCAGCACAAGGCTGAGTCGCCCCGTCCCCCTCGCATGGCTCTGGAGGTCAAGATGCAGGAGCTGCAGTGGGGAGGAGGAAACTGGGCTGAGCCATGGGAGGGCAATGTCCTTGTGAAGGATGCAGGGGAGTCACTACCTGCTCCTCCAAGGTGACTAACTCAGTGCCTTCACTGCTATTTCTTTCTGCTAGCTCGGAGGGAAGGCCAGGGAAGTGCCCTGCAGCACCCATTGGAAAGCACAGCCTGAAAAAGGGGCAGTTAAAGCTCTATGGGTGCTGAAGGAAACTGAAAGCAGGAGGGTAAATGCACAGGAAGCATCCCAGTGTGCTGGTCAGTTGGATGCACACCAGGCTGGCTGGCAGAGCTGGAGCTCCTGCACCAAACCCTGCTCCCACAGCTCTCTCCCATCCCTGCCACTCATTACCATGCTCCCTGACACAGCACAAACTGGGGTGGGCTGAACCCAAGAGGAATCGGAGCAAACGGGAGATGCTGAACTGAGGATAAAGCTGGTGCAGGGATGAGCTTCAGCAAAACCCCTGTGAGCAACGAGAGGCACATGGAAACAGGAGCCTTGACACAAGAGTGCCTGAGCACTCAGCAGTGCAGGACCACATGGCCCCCAGCAGGCACCGCAGGCAGCATCGCTGCTGTGAAAGCCCAAAGTGCAGCCTTAGAATTCACCAAATAAAACCCCAGAAGGTTCCAGATCCCTCAAGGGAAAGCCAGAGCCTTGCTGCTAAAGCTAAGCTGACCTGGGGCATGGGGTGGAGGAGGCGGAGGCAGAGGGAAAGACTGCAGGGAGGAGCCCATTGGACCCACTAGGACAGATGTAGGCAGCGTCCCACTGATATCATCTAGGAGAGAACAGAGGCAAGAGAGATTCAGAAAACAGGAAAGCAAGCGAGCTCTGCACTGCCTGACACACACACCCGAGCAAACCAGCCCTTGGTGCTGCCTGGGGCAGCCAAGATGGAGCTTCCCACCAGCAGCTCAGCATCCTCCTCTTGCTGCTGCTTCACACGCTCCCCAAGAGTGGGGGAGTCTGGTTTCCAGCCCCTCACATGCATAATACAGGCATTTAAAGGAGGTTTCACAGGCCCAGCACATGGGATGTGCAGTTTAAGGTGCTGCTGCCTAAGGCTGACTTGACCCATCCTTAGCTTCTTCTCAGAGGAGCCTCCTCCAGAGGAGGATGAAGAGCAGCTGAGCCTGCCTCCTGGTGAGCTCCCATGCAGCTTCCAGTGACTCCAGAGCACAGAAAGGAACCGGCCTCGCTGGGTGATGGGTAGGAAGGGGAGCAGTTCCCAAAAGCAGCAGAAATGCTACAAAACCAACACGTTCCCTCCCCACCTCACATTGCTGCCCCATCACCCTCCCCTCCTGGCTGATCCAGGAGAAACACTGAGCCTGTCAATGAAGAACAAAAGCAATCCCCTGCTAGGGAAGGGTGAGCAGGCAGCAAGCCCAGTGCCGGGGATGCTCAAGGCTCTCCCCTTCCCTCCCTACACGGGCAGATGGGCAGTTCCTACGCTCCCATAGGGACACAGGGCAAGGATGCTCTCCAAGACAGTACCTAGCAGGCTGAGGCTTCGTCGTGGTGGAGGTGGTGGAGTCGGAGGGTGAGGGGAGGTCAGTCCTCGCTGCGAGATGTCCACGTCCACCAGCGACACCGTTTCACCTGAGGGTTAGCGGAGCAAGAGCATCAGTATCACACCTGCTCCAGGGCACGTGGAAGGGGAACGGGGCAGGAACCTCGGCAGGGTTTGGAACACCATCTCGTTAGCTGCTTCCCTTTGGAGACATGGATTAGCTCGGCTGCTGTAGCCCAAAGGTCAGGCAGAGGAGAACGACACCAGTCCTGAATCCCCCTGGAGTCCAACACCAGGATGCTGGGATGAGGAGGGCAAGTTCACAGCAAGCAGAGCTCAGCAGTGCTGCACTTTAATGCCAAAGGCCAGGAGGGTACCAGCTCTTCAGATTAATACGAGGGAACTGGACAGGCTTTAACATTAAAAAAGTGGAATTTGCTGAGCACTAAAAAGGCTTCAGACCCAGGATACCGCTGGGGGAAAATAACCACACAAATTAAGATGTCTAACTTCAAGCCAGAAAAAGCTTAAAATGAGTCTAAAATCATGGGAGAGAAAGGAAGGCAGCAAATCCAGGTCAAAGCATCAGCCTCGGTATTGGGCTGATACAGAGGCAAAAGGAAAACACCCAAATCCCAAAGAGAGATCCCTAGGGGTGCTACCACAGCCAAGGCTTAACACTGAGTTTAACCAGGCTCTGATGGACACCAGCACCGGAACCCCATCATCCCAAAGATCCGAACCATGGTCTCAAGGACAACAAGGTCTGGCTGCCTTAGATTTCAATTCCTGTGGGCAGGGAGCTCCTCTCCTGCTCCAGATACCACGCACAGCATCACCCATCTGACAGTGTATTCACCATGCATTAGAGAGGACAAGATTGACTCAGCTTCCTTCTGCTTTTAAGACTCCTGTCTATTAATAAGCGATGGCAGGAGGAGTATTTAGGGTGGGTATTATCCAAGGTACCTTCTCCCTGGGGGGTTAAGGGTGTGAGCACACACACATGCACACAACCACTCCTTCATTTCCACACCTTAACAATAAAGTGCCCAAGCTGCATCCACCTTGGACAAACAAACCCAAAAGCCAACCAGGCTAAGAGGGGGGGGGGGGCAGGAACTCAGCTTGCAACCCTTCCCAAGGCAGCAGGAGGGGCTGTGATGGGCTTATGCTTCCAAGGGGTGCTCAAGGAGAGGTCAGGGAAGGCAAGGAGAGCCTTCCCAAAGGCCCTTCCTCATCCCACAGACTAACCTGGAAGCAAGTCCCCAAGGAATTCATGCAAGCTGGGACAGTCCATTTGAATTCTGTCCCAGCCTCAGAAACCCCACAATGCAGGAGCCATGAAAGAAACCAAGCAGTGCAATATGAAGTCAGCACCGACCCAAAGCCAGATCCTCGCTCTGGGGATGATGCCATGGTTTTCTGGCCAGGAAAAACCCCTCCAAGGGCACTGTCACTATTGCATTTACACTCACAGCTTCCCCCAGCAACAGGCGACAAAGCAGCAGAAGCAGCTTCTGCCTGCACCAGCCCTGATTTGCAAGGCGACACTGAGGAACCGAGTCCCATCACACGAGGAACAAGTCCTCAACGTGCCACCCCATCCTCAGGACACGGGCTGAAAGGATGTGGGAATGGAGGAGAGAACAAGCCCCAGCACAGCTGAATCACCCCCGAGTGACTCCCCTTCTGCAAGAGCTGAAGGAGCTACAGGAAACATCAGGATCAGAAGCTTCCAGTTCCTACTTTCAGGCAAGTCAAACGAATGCTCTGCCTTGAAGGCAACTTCTCTGATGTTTAAACCAGTTTGGAGGAAGAGAAGAGCTCACCACTGCTCTCCAAAGAGGCTTTGCCCTGCTCAGGGGCACAAAACACCCCCCACTCTCCATCACCTACGCCAACAACAAGAGGCTTTCAAGCTCTCCCCACCAGCTTTAAGGCAGCTATGGCTGCACAATCCCGTTTTGACTCCTCTGCTCTGCACTAAGACCCTCAATATGAACCTATTTTGAACCTGCCCTCCATAACAGGCCATGGAAACCCCCCCCAAGCCAATAAATACTCACTTGTGCCCTTAGATTCCTGCTCCTGCAAGCCTGGAGACAGGAGTCACGCAAGGAAGCCCCAAGCCCTATGGCTGGGACCGTTCTGACTACAAACCCAGACCACAAGAGGCACATGACCATGACTGGGAGCTTTGCAGTCCTACAGCTTCCAGCCACCAGCAGAGCAGGACTTCCCCCTCACACCATTTATAAACCAGCTCCCCCCCATGCCTGCCCAGCAGAAAAGGGAAGGTCAGAAACCAGCAGGATAAGGGGAAAGGGGAAAAAATGCTCCACAAATGAGGTTTCAATTCCCACTGCAGAGCCACCAACGGTGATGTATGGTCCAGGTGGGAAGCAGGGCTTGGTCTTAGCCCCTCTCGAGTCAAACGCCTTTGCTCTGTAAGGGATCTTCCAAACCCCCTGGATGCAGAGCCCTGTGCAGAGGAAGGACCAGGACCTTCACCTCCAACTTGTGTTTCAACAGGAGGAATTGCAAAATGCTGATGTGCAACCATGGAAAGGGACTTCTTAAGAGGGCCTGTAGGGACAGGCCAAGGGGAATGGCTTGAACCTGCCGGAGGGGAGACTGAGATGAGCTCTTAGGCAGAAGCTCTTCCCTGGGAGGGTGCTGAGGCGCTGGCACAGGGTGCCCAGAGAAGCTGTGGCTGCCCCATCCCTGGCAGTGTTCAAGGCACAGGGGCTTGGAGCAAGCTGCTCCAGTGGAAGGGGTCCCTGCCCGTGGCAGGGCTTGGAGCTGGAGGAGCTTTAAGGTCCCTTCACCCCAAAGTATCCTTAAACACCAACTGCTCTTTTCACAGCCAAATGTGCACCCTTACCTGTGAAGAGGGGGCTGAACACAACCGGGGAAAAGGCACTTTGAGTTCTTGTCAGTCTGTGTTTCCTATAGGAAATAAGGAAAACATTGTCAGTGGAGAGGAGGCATCCCAGCACAAGGAAACCCCTTCTGACCTCCTCCAACCAGAACCTTCCCCGTGCCTCGCTCCAGGAGCTCGAGGCACCTCATTGCTTCGTGTTTATTGGACTTCTAGAGCAGTGCTTTAGCCTAAGTAGGGCAGTGAACCAGTAAAGCCAGGTCTGCGTCCTGCTCCGAAGCACATCCGTAAGTAGGGAATTAATAAAGCCTTTAGGAAGAGGAACCCCAAGCAGCTGTGCTAACCAGAGCCCAGAAGCTGTTTCCCAACCGTCGTCTCCCTCTCGCTCCGCAGCAGCTGTTGCCAAATGCCTTTGACAAACAGGTTTGGTCCCTGGGCAACGAGGGGCTGTGCCTGGAGCGAGGGCACTGAGTGCCCTCCCGCTGTGTTTGGAGGACACCATCTCCCCCAAAAGGGTGCCAAACTGCAGCTGAAGGGCAGGCGAGCTACACCCGGCGCTGGGGAGATGGATGGAAGCAGCTAAAGATGCGCCTCTGACGAGGAGCCAGCAGCTCCCATGCTTTCCAAACCAGTGGGTTTATAACAAGGCTTTAGCCAGCACCGTGCTCTCGCCACGCAAAACCCCTCCTTCCTATTGCAGTGCTCAAGGGCTTTATCCAGATGTAGGCACAGAAACTGCTGGTAAACTGAGGCAGAGAGTATGGCACCCCCAGGACTCGAATCCAATAGAGAAGCGCATCCGTGGTGCCAGACACTCAGTCCCACCTCAGAGGGGAGCACAAGAACAAAGATCAGCGTCAGCTTTGACAAAGGTCTTCCCAGCATCCTGCAAGGCCCATCCCAGCATGGGGCAGCCTGTTCCAGGTCTGTAGTGGGTCAGGCAAGGCTACTCCCAATTGAATAGTGCAACTCCACCGTGCTGACCAGAGGAACCGGTCCCATTGCATGCAGGCAAGTGATGGCACCGAGACCTGCAGGAGCTCAGAGACCAGCTCTCCTCCCAGCCCAGAGCACACTGCTTCCACTGCAAGCAAAGGGCTGACACTGTTCTTCCTGGGCATCATCTTCACTCTCCAACCTCCTCCCAGCAAAAGGCTGACCCTGAGCCTTAAGCTTGTGCCTCAGCCCCCAGCTCTGCTCTGTGATGCAGATGCAACTCAGCCATCCCAGAGGGAGAAGAAACCTGAGTTCCAGGCTCATATTCCCACGTGGAGCAGATGGGGGAGTCCTCACCTCCTCACAGAGCTGCCCAAACGCTTCTCTTGTTTGTGTCCAGACACATCACTGGGGTTCATAGTATTAATTCACAGCTATAAGCTTGCAAATAAACACACTACAAACACTCATCCTGATACATCAACCCCATTCCAAGGTTTGGAAGTGGTCCCATTTTAAGCCTCTCACACCTATTCGAGGGTTGGATGGTTTTCCCTCTCCAAGGAAGATGATTCCCTGATTATCAGCCCCACACACACACATACAAAATTACACTTCTGGCCTAATATCAACGAAGCTTATAATATAGTAACAGCTCTGCTCCCTCCCACTAAGCCAGACGGAAAGGAGCATTGCTGGCATTTTGCTGTTACCAAAACAGCTACATTTTATGCCAACGTCTTACAACCATCACTTCCTGAGATGTCTCGTTTCAAGCAAGCAGGGTGAGAGCAAGAAATGATTCCCATGAACCGGATCCTCCACTTCCCAACCCAAAACAACCGCGTTCCATACACCCTCCTCCTGCCCTCAAGCTCTGCAGCATCCAAACGATGCTGAAATGGTGCTTCCCACTCATCCCAAGTCTCACCCAGCCATCCAAGCTCGCCACATGCTACTTTATACCTGTAATACCATGGAGACATGTGAAGAACCAAGGTCATCAATGGAGCTATCAACCCGGACCTGGTACCAACCTGGCCAGCGATGGGCAGCAGATGCTGGCTGCAGCTCAGGTTTGCCTGCATCCACCTATCCACAGAACTGGTGCCTAAACCCATTCCCCTTTCCCCTCCAACTACCGGGATGGGAAGCTTGAGCAGCGACTCCAAATACCAGGAATCCTGCTTCAGATGGATGTTTAAAGGAAAAAGGAGCTGGGACAGATAACACCCACCACAGTCCAAGGGAGCACCCTGCATCAAAGAACCTTGCAAGTCAGCAACAAGAGCCCCATAACAAGCAGAGGCAGGAATTAACCCAAAAGTTGCCCTGAGCCCACCTCAGCAGCAGCTCATAGGAACACCAGATTCATCCTATATTAACAGGGGCCATAAACTCCAGCTCTGAGCAGAATCAAGGAGAGGTCATGCTGCTGATGGCGCTGGTGCAAGCCAGCAGACAGCATTTGCTGGGCTGGGTTAAGCCCAGTAAAGGCCACAGCAGAAGAGAGGAAAAGGAAAGCACCATCTGCTGAGGACAAACATTCACTTCCCAGCAAGCTTGGCTTACCTAAACCTAACTTGCTTAGGCAGGGATGAGCATCCCCAGCACCCCAAACCACTCCTCCTCATTGAGAAGACCTCCAGGACCAGCAGGGACCATCCCAGCCCTGCACAGCCTCCCAGCAGAGGAGATGCCAGCTGCAAGCACACCCATCCCACAGCCCCAAAGCACAAGAGCTGCACTCCAGGGCACAAAAAGCATCACTCAAATAACCCAGCCCTCGTGAGTAGGAAGGGACACTGGAGCTGGCAGCAACGAACAGTCCCTGAACCACACGAGCTGCTGCATCAGGCACCTTGAAGTAACCTCTGCTCAAACATCACCTACTTAGTGCAGGGGAGTTGCACGATGCTGGAGCAGAAGTGACCACTGAACCAGAGGCAAGACCCAGGCAGTGATAACGGTGCTTCTCTGCTCCTGACCTGCTTAAGACACAACTGTCAACGCTGCACTGCCTAATGCCGGTGGTAGAGGAGGTCCTAGGACTCCTTCCTGCTCTCATCAAGCACCAGGATGGCCTAAACCACAAGCCCATTAGAACATTATGCCATTAATGTCATCATTTGAGGCCCATTCAGTCATTTGTAGGGAATGAAGCCGTTGTATAAAGCTGCTTCACCACCCTATGCAAAAGCCAGGCTCCTCACAGGGCTCAACCACCCTCCCAGCAGCTGCAGGGCTGGGAGCTGAGGCTGCCCCATCTCAGAACCCATCCTGTGCTTCACAACTTTGGCCTCTGTTGCCTTTTGGGCTGTGCAAGTGCCCCGCTACCACACCTGAGCCAAGGTCAGCATCTTTCAGAGCAAGCCTGGAGAGCTCCCTACTCTTCACCTCAACAAGGAGGCTACAGAGCCCAAAAGCCTTACGCAGGGTTACTTAACCCCACAGGGAAAGGGCTGTGCTGCAATACCCAAAGTCCATTTAGTTACTGGATGCTGCTCCCAGGCTGCCTGCACAGCCCTTGGGCAGGCTCCCCCTGCCTCCTCCATGAGGGATCTCAGTTCTGCTGCTGGAAATGCTATAGAAGGTGGTTTCTGGAGCACAGGAGGCCACCAGAGGCATCAGCCCTTTACCCTCCTCAGGTGGTATCAAGCAGCTCATGTCTTCTGCCGAGACATGAGGCTAGAGCAGGAGTGCTGCAGCCCTGGGTCCCACACCAGCAGGTCCCAGATTATATCCCTTCAGCCTAACAAAACCCAGTCAACCTCTGGTTGTCAACGCTTCCTCCAGCTATGTCCTCCTACAGAGCATCACCCACCATCACCACCGAGGTCAGAGCCCAGCGGTGACACCGGTGAGCCTCAGGACATCATTCTGCAAGAGGAAACACCAGCCCCTTGGGTCTCAGCACAGAGCCACCAGAGGCCATCCCCAGAACGCCCCACTTCCTTGCTCAGCCGTTGCCATCCCTCCGCTGATCCTGCTCCTGGATGTTTTTCCACCATCCCCTTTAAGGATGCGAGGCCCAGAGCAGAGGGTTCCTCCCCGCCTGCCTCTCCTGGGCTCCAGAAGATGAGGCCTCAGCTTGGAAGCGGCCTGAACCCAGCTCGGAGCCCATACACAACCGTGATGCCCATGTGCAGGGTGGTATCTGCTCATCCTCCACTTCCACCAACGCATCACAGCCCTGGCACCCCATATATCCCCGTATATCCCCGTACTGTGGGGCCACATCGCTGCATGCCCTGTGCTGCTGTCACATCAGCCCCAGGCTCTCCACGCAGGCGACTGCTCCCCACAGCCCCCACCACCCCAAAACCACCTCTGCTCCCCGGAACCCCCTTTCACATCACCCCAAAACCATCCCTGTCCCCACAACCCCCATCCTATTACCCCCAAACCCTCCCCTCCAAGGCCGGACACAGCCCCTCCGGTGCCGGTAACCCCCCCCCGTACCTGCCCGCCTCCTGCTCGCGGCCGCGGGCCCCGCACACATCGGTCAGGCTGCCGGCCGAGGCGGGCAGCTCCCCGGCGCGCCGGGCCTCGGTGCTGGCGGCGGCGGCGGCGTCCCCGGTGGCTGAGCCGCCGCTGCAGCTCTTGGTGCGGAAGAGGCGGCTGAGGCGGATCTTGAGCGAGCCCTTCCTGCCGCCGGGGCCGGCTCCCCCGGGGGCCGCAGGCGGCGGCGCGGGGCCGGGGGCTCCTCTACCGGTAGCTCTGGCGGCTCCGCGGCCGGGGGACCCCGGCTCCTCCTCGGAGCAGCTCCCGGCCTCGTCGGGCTCCAGCGCCTCCAGCACCAGCAGCGCATCGCTCGTCTCCTCGGCGGCGGGCCCGGCCGGCGGCGGCCCGAGGCAGGGGCACCCCGCGGGTCCCTTCGTGCCCAGCCCGGGCGGCCGCAGCCCCAGCGCTGCCAGCTGCAGCTCCAGCCCGCCCGCCGGCGCGGCTCCCCACCCGGTCACCGCCTTGGGCTCCAGGGCGCAGCGGTGCCGCGGGCAGAGCAGTTCCCCGCCGCCTCCCGCCGGGCCCCCGCCGCCCGCCGCGGGGCCGCCCTCCTCTCCCGGCCGCCCCTCGGCCGCGTTGCGGAACACCATCAGCTGCGGCGGCGGCCGGGGGCTCCGCAGCGCCGCACCGCCCGCCAGCCGCCCGCCGCCGAGGCCCAGCGGCCCCGCGCCCGCAGCGCCGGTAACGGAGCCGCCCGCCGCGCCCGCCTCCGGCCCGGCCACATAGCCCAGGAGGCGGCTCAGCACCCGGTAGGAGGCCGCAGCGGCCGCCGCCGCGTCCCCGTCGCGCAGCTCGGCGCGGTGCATGGCTACGGCCGCCGCATGGCCGGGACCGGCACCGGGAGCGGGGCCGCGACCGGGCCGCACCGCCCACCCACCATCACGGCGCCGCGCCACGCCCCCTCACTTCCGCCATAGGCCACGCCTCCTGACGCAAACCACGCCCTCCCCTCGCTGGATGTGGACACGCCCTCTGGGGTCAGGGCACTTAGCGGGAATGGCGGGGGGGGGCCGGGCACCGCTGGGGCAGCACCGGCAGCGAGCGGGGAGGCTGAACCCCCCCCCCCGGCACCGGGCAATGCGCGGGTGGACGGCGCCGTCCTGTGGCGGCTTCGGCTCAGCTTCGGCTCCGCCTCGGCTCTGCTTCGGCTCGGCTTCGGCTCTCGCACCCCATGGATGGAGGCGAGGGACCGGGCACCGGCTCTGCCCCCTCCCGCCCCGGGGCCGCTGAAGGGGGAAGTCACCGCTGCTCCAGGCAGGGGAGAGCGGCCCCAGCGGTGCCTCAGTTTCCCCTCTGCAACACGGCCACTGCTGGGGGGGAGCTGGGACAGCATCGCCCAGCTGAGGGGGAGGGGAGCATCAGGCTCTGCCATGGGGACCCTGCACCCACCACCTATGGGGAGATCCCTATGGGTGCCCCACTTCCATCCCATCGCCGGGGTAGGGGGAAACTGAGGGCTTGAGGCCGGCACCATATGGGGAACCAACGGGAGATTCTCCCCCCGGCTGCCAGGGGGGCTGCGGAAAGGAGGAATATTCCCAGCCCTGTTGCCATGGCTTCCCATCAGGATGCGCTTGCATCACGGGCAGCACGAGGGGTGCACGGGTTCCCCCCGGGGCTCAGGGCTGGGGGTATCGGGTGTCCCCACGGGCCTCAGGGCCGGGCTGTGGGGGTCCCTATGGGGCTCAGGGCCAGGCGCTCCGCGGCACCGCATCCAAGCAGGAGCGCAGGGATAAGCGGGGGGGGGGGGCTCCGAGCCCCGGCGCCAGCCGATGAGCACGTTTTGGAGCTGGTGACGTCTGCTCCGGCATCACCGAGGCAGGAAAACAAGCGGCAGAGCGCGATCCCAGCGCTGTGGAGCCGAGCAGGCTCCGGGGCACCGCGCCCATCACCATGTGCCCCCCGGCGGGGCCGCTGGAGGCCGGGGGGCTCCGCTGAGCCCCAGCCATGGCTCCGTGGCGGTGGCTGCTGCTCTGGTGCTGGCACACGGCGCTGCTCCATGGCCAGCTCCCACAGGACGGCCCCCCCCGCCCGGCGGGGTGGTCCCCGGCTCCATCACCCCCCTGGGGACCCACAGAGGAGCCGGGGGACACCGAGGGCTCGGCGGCGGCTCTGGCGTTCCTGCGGACGGGCGATGCTCGGCGCCTGGCCCGAGCCAACTGCAGCCGGGGGGTCCCGGCGGCGGCCGCGGGTCCCGGTCCCCCCCCGGCGCTGCGAGCTGCGCTCCGTGCCGCCCCCGAGGCGCTGGCCCACGCCGCCAACTTCCTCAACATGCTCTTCCAGACCAACGACATCCGCGAGGCCAGCGTGGCAGAGGACGTGGAGTGGTACCAGGCGCTGGTGCGCAGCCTGGCCGAGGGGCACCCATGGGTGCGCAGGGCGGTGCTGGCCCTCGATGCTCACCCGCTGGCCGCCAAGCCCCGGCTGATGCTGCAGGCTACCAAGGGCGATGGCCAGATCCTGCTCCAGGATGTCTCCGCTGCAGCTCCGAGCCTCGGTAACCTCAGCTGGGACAACGAGTGGTTCAATGCCCCCAAATCCCAGCGGACCCCTGCCCTCCGCAAGCGGGTGCTCAGCAATGACCTGCGCAGCATGGAGACCCCCAAGTGGCAGCGGGGTGACAGCTACGTGGGGGACCCGGGCCATGTGCGGTGGTCCCCTCCGTTCCTCGAGTGCCGGGACGGCCGGTTCCTGCCTGCCTGGGCTGTCACACTCTCCGCTGCTTTCTATGGGCTCAAGCCAGACCTCAGCCCTGAGTTCAAGTAAGTGGTACCCGGAGGGGCTGGAGGAGGGGTAAAGAGGGTTGGAGGGCGCCCTGTGTGCATGCTGGGGAGTGCGGATGGAGGCAGCACCTTGGGGTGCAGGCAGGATGCTTTGCCGGCGCCCTGCCTGCATCCCTGTGCATGTGTATGGCTATTTGCACACCTATAGGCACGGTATGGACCCTTGTCCCCACTCGGGCTGCCACCCTCCGAAACCTCCTACCCTGTCACGGCCACTCTGTGGGGTGGGGGGTCCCTGCTGCACCCCAGCACCCCCTGTGCAAGCAGCCACAGTGGGGGACAATGGGGAGGGAAGGGGGCTCCTGGGTTTAGTCCTGGAGAGGGGTTTGTCTCCGTTTCCAAGGGGGATGCTGTGTCCCCCTTAGAGCACTCAGGGGAGAGGGTTGGTCCTGCAGGATGCGGGATGGCACCAGGGGCCACCCCAGCACCTCCTATTTCCCAGCCGTTTGCTTTAAAGCCCCTTTTGAGAGGCAGAATCCACAGCCAGGAGCTGCTGCTCCAGCCTCCCTCAGAGGCAGCTCCAAGGGGGGACTTATCATAGAACCATAGAACCATGGAATGGGTTGGGTTGGAAGGGACCTTAAGGCTCCTCCAGCTCCAACCCCTGCCACGGGCAGGGACCCCTTCCACTGGAGCAGCTTGCTCCAAGCCCCTGTGTCCAACCTGGCCTTGAGCACTGCCAGGGATGGGGCAGCCGCAGCTTCTCTGGGCCACCCAAGCACCCCCATGGTTGTGCCCTCCCCCGGTGGCATTGGTGGGGCATGGGGCCCACGCTGGTTGTGGACATGGGGCTGACCCCATCCCTCTGCACAGGGGTGTCGTGCGGGTGGACATCGAGCTGCGGGACGTGGCCATTGACCAGTGTGCCAGCGGGCCGGGCTGGTTCGCAGACACGCACCGCTGCGACCTCAACAGCACCCAGGTACCATCCACCAGCACCCAGCACCCCATCCCTTCACCTGGCAGGGCACCGCTCTGCCCCCATCCCTCCCTCCGACTGAGCTTTATCCTCTCCCGGCCCATCCATCTGCTTCCTTCCGCTGCAGTGGAGGGGTTTAGTGTGCAAATCTGCCCTCCCTGTGCCAGCAGCAGCCAGTGACCTGGTGCTCCCTGCCCAGACACCACGGGGATGGGTGGGCACCGCTGGGACAATCACCTCCATCCCTTCCGGTGGTACCCACTGGAGATGCCAAAGCCTGTTTCAGGGCTTGGCGCAACCATCAGCATCCCCAAGCAGAGCAAACACCGCAGCGACACGGCTCAGCGTGGTCCCCAAGTGGGAAAGGCGTCACCAGCTTCTCTTTCCTCTGGAGGGATGGGCTCTGGTGCTGGGAATGTCTCCAGGACACAACAATACCCAGAGAAGCTGCCAGCACAGCCCATTGGGGGCAGGATGTGGGCAGAGGGGATTAGGGCAGCGCCGCTGCCGTCATGGCTGGGCAGGATTAGTGCTCTCTGCTGCATTATGTGTCCATTTAGGGTTTAGGGAGGGATTTGGGGGCCAAGCTTTGGCTTTTAATTCTTCAATGTTTAACCACTGCACAGGGGGAGAGCGGCCTGGGGGCAGGTTCCTGTGAGACAGGGGATGCTGGAGCCTCTGGTGTGGGAGGGATGCAGGGATAGGGGGAGTGTTTGGGATGTGGGATGAGCGCTTCCATGCATCCCAGCCTGTCTCCTTCAGTGTATCCCGCAGGAGAGCCACGGCTTCGTCCTCGGGAGGTACCTGTGCCGGTGCAAGCCGGGCTTTTATGGAGCCAGTGGAGCAGCCCAGGCAGGTGGGTGCCCATTTCACCCAGTGGGACGTGGCCACTGCAGTGGGGGCTGAGGCTGAGGGGGGGGGGATTTGGGAAGCCCAAGCCCATTCCCTGGCAAGGAAAGTGCCTCCAAGTGATGCAGTGATTGTAACCACGAGTAATGAGTGATAGAAGAGGAAACGGCCTCAAGCTGCACCAGGGCAGGTTTAGATGGAGCTGAGGAACAATTCCTGCCCCAAAGGGTGCTCAGGCATTGGAACAGGCTGCCCAGGGCAGGGCTGCAGGCACCGTCCCTGCAAGTGTTCACACACCCTCAGTGCCATGGGTTAGTGGTGGCCTTGGCAGCGCTGGGGACCGGTCAGACTCAATCTTAGAGGTCTTTCCCAGCCTGGTTGGGTCCATGATAATTCCATGATCCTCTTCCAGGCACAGCGGGGGCAGACGGGGGGTCCCTGTTGGGATGCCGGCCCTGCCGCCAGGGATGCTCCACCTGCCAGGACGATGCTCCCTGCCTGATCCAGGAGGACCGGGCGCTGCGGGCAGCCGTGCTGTCCTGCCAGGCCTGCTGCATGCTGGCCATCTTCCTCAGCATGCTGGTCTCCTACCACTTCCGACGGAGCAAGGTAAGGTGTCCCCATGTCCCATGCCCCCTGCCCTGCTCCCATCCCATCCCCAAACCCCGCGGGCTCAAGGCTCCTGGCTGCATCCTCACACCTGTGTCCCCGCAGAGGATCCGGGCATCCGGAATCATCCTCCTGGAGACGATCCTCTTCGGGTCCCTCCTCCTCTACTTCCCAGTGAGTATCCAGCTGGAAGAGGACTCGGTGTAAGAGCCTCTGCGGCCTGGTGAGGGTCGGGGGCTGGCCCCAAGCAGGGCATGGGCACAACTCCACCTGATTGTGGATTCGCTGGCACAGCCCCCGGTGGCTCCGGTATAAACCTTGGGAAACCAAATCCCTGCTCTCCCAGTGGCGGCAGGAGTTAATCCCTGCCCAAATCCCCTCTCCCTCCCACAAGAGCCGTGCCGGGTGCTGTAGAGCCAAGGGGGAAGGATGGCAGCGGTGAGCACTGACTGCATCCAGCTCTGGGGTGGCAACACAAGGGGGACGTGGAGCCATGGGGATGCTGCCAGGGCTGGAGCAGCTCTGCTCTGGAGCCAGGCTGAGAGAGCTGGGCTGGGGCAGCCTGGAGAAGAGAAGGCTCCTGAAGGGGAGACCTCAGAGCAGCTCCAGTGCCTGAAGGGGCTGCAGGAAACCTGGAGAGGGGCTTGGGACAAGGGATGTAGGGACAGGCCAAGGGGAATGGCTTGAACCTGCCCGAGGGGAGACTGAGATGAGCTCTTAGGCAGAAGCTCTTCCCTGGGAGGGTGCTGAGGCGCTGGCACAAGGGGTTGGAACTGGGTGAGCTTTAAGGTCCCTTCAACCCAAACCATTCCATGATTCCCTGGTTTCCGAGCCTCCATCCATCCCCGCTCCACCACCAACCCCTCTCTCCCCCCACCTCAGGTGTTCATCCTGTACTTCAAGCCCAGCATCTTCCGCTGCATCGTCCTGCGCTGGGTCCGCATGCTCGGCTTCACCATCGTCTACGGCACCATCACCCTCAAGCTGTACAGGTACCAGGATGGAGGGGGGGGCTGGATGCTTGTGCCCCCCGCAGCAGGGATCCACTGGGGCTCACCCCTCTGCCCCTCGCAGGGTGCTGAAGGTGTTCCTGTCCCGCACGGCCCAGCGGGTGCCCTACGTGTCAAGCATGCGGGTGTTGAAGATGCTGGGGCTGATCCTGGTCCTGGTGCTGTGGTTCCTGGCGGCCTGGACCATCGGGATGCTGGAGAACGTGGACAAGAACATCCCGCTGGTGATCCGCACCCAGACTGCCGGCGGCCTCCACTTCTACATCTGCGGCCATGACCACTGGGACTACATGATGGTGATTGGTGAGACCAGCACCCTCCCACCCCAGGACCCCATCCCATAAATGCAGCCTTGCTTTGTCTGTTTAATGTGCCTTGGAGCCTGGAAGCAGGGCTGGGGCACCCGAGCTGCCTCCCATCCTCTCCTCTGAGCATCCCCAACGCTGGGGCAGGGTACATCCCTGGGAGCTGAGCCCTAGTGATGCGCAGGGGTGTCAAGGGATGCTCTGCACCAGAGCCAGCAGATGAACCCACAGGGCCGGATGTGCCCCAGGGCAGGGAGGTCCCAGTGGGTAGCAGCACCGGTACCCATAAGAACACGCTGACAGTGATGGTGCTGGGTGCTCAGCATCGCTCCCCTTGCTCTCGCCCACAGCTGAGCTGCTGTTCCTGCTGTGGGGCAGCTTCCTGTGCTTCGCCACGCGCGCCGTGCCCTCCGCCTTCCACGAGCCTCGCTACATGGGCATCGCGCTGCACAACGAGCTCATGATCTCGGCCACCTTCCACGTGGTCAGGTAGGACACGGGGCTGCCAGGAGCTGGGAGACGCCATTCCCATCCCCGGCAATGCCAAGGAACCGGTGGCAAATCCCCTGCCAGGTTCATCGTGGTCCCCTCGCTGCACCCGGACTGGACGCTGCTGCTCTTCTTCGCTCACACCCACGGCACCATCACCATGACCCTGGCGCTGCTCTTCATCCCCAAGGTAACGCTCATCCCAAAGGGGGATCCCAACATTTCGGGGGGCCCCCCCCTAGCTTGAGCTCTCCCCTCGTCGTTCCCCCCCTCTGCAGTTCCTGCACACGGGCTCACCGCTGCGGGAGGAGATCACAGCCGAGGTCTATGAGGACGAGCTGGACATGCGGCGCTCGGGCTCCTGCCTCAACAGCAGCATCGCGTCGGCCTGGAGCGAGCACAGTCTCGACCCCGATGACATTCGGGTGGGTGCCACACTCAGGACCTTCTTTTGACGCTTGCTCTGCAGAGTAAGAGGTGCCTTTTGCAGTCTTTCTCCTGATGCAAAGCGGATGGGGTGGGAAGAACGGGGTGGGGTGGGAGGGGGGGGCACAGGGTGAATCCGCCAAAGCCACGGTGGGGGGGGGGGAAAACCTCCTGCATCCCTTGGGATGGAGGGATGGGGATTGGGTTGTGGGTGCAGCCGCAGCCCCGTTGGACGCGCTCTCCTCTCCCTGCTCTCTGCCCGCGGCACAGGAGGAGCTGAAGAAGCTCTACAGGCAGCTGGAGGTGCACAGGAGGTGGCGGATGGCAGCGCTCAACCCTCACCTCCCCAAGCAGCGCAGCGCCCGCCGCAGCCTGGCCCGCTCCATCGCCCACCGGGTCACCGAGCTGCCCGAGGCGCTCGCACGCCGCCGCCGCAGCAGCAGCACCCGTGGGTCCTCGGCCAAGCAGCTCCTCAATGCGGGTACCACGGACCTGAGGATGCGGGATGATGGCTCCTGCAGCACTGAGGGGGTCCAGGGGGGTTCACCCATCCTTGCTGCCCCCCAGGAGCCTGCGCCGGGGAGGAAGATGATGGTGACGGCGGCCTCGGTGCAATCCGACAGCGAGTCCCTCGATGCTGCTCCGCTCGTGTACAAGTCAGCCAGTGCCCACAACCTGGTGGGGCACGGGCAGTCCCCCCTGCCCCGCGCCCCCCCCTTGCACAAGTCGCTCAGCGTGGTGGCCGGGGCGCAGGATGAAGCCCTGCTCGCCGCCAGCCGCGCTGCATGGGGGAAGCAACACATCGAGCATCCATTCAGCCTGGCCTCGGGGCACCCCACGGCACAAGGACCCCCCAAGGAAGCTGGGAAGCCGCAAAGCCCTGATGCTGTCCCCAGCCCCGCCGAGGGGTGCTCGCGGGCTGTGTCCCCCCTGGGCGATGGCAGGGTGCAGAGACACGTCACCTACGCGCCCATCAAGAGCATCAGCATCGACTGCTCCCATCACCCAGGGCGGGTGCGGATGGTGGTGGTGAGGAGAACCCCACCACGGCCCCCAGTGCGCTGCCAGAGCCTGGGGCAGCGGGGACCAGCGGCCGGGGACAGCCTGGGGACAGCAGAGCCACCCGTGGCACCCCCAGCAGCAGGGATGAAGGAGGAAGATGCGGGGTGCACGTCGCCCGCAGCATCCATCCCGGCACAGGTCTGTCCCTGGGAGCTGGTCCAGGAGGAGATCCTGAGCCGGAGGGAAAGAGCCACCCAAGCAGCAGGGTCGGGGACCACCAGTGACACAGCAGCCACTCCCCCCAGCATCAAACCATCCGCCCAGAAGATGTCCCTCTGGAGCCTGGGCCTGGCCATCAAAGCCTTCAACAGATCCAGAGGGAAAAGCATCCCAAAGGGAAAGAGGGAGAGCGAGGGGAGCCTCAGGAAGAGGAGGGGGGGCAGCAGCAGGAGGGAGAGGCCAAGCCCAGCAGAGACATCGGCCGTGTCCCCTGCAGGGACCACAGGCTCCGAGCAGGGCTTTTGCCAGCACAACAACAACGCCAGGGCCGCTGCGGGCGATGGAGAGGAGCCGGGTGAGGAGCACGGTGCTGCCCATGGGGATGCGGATGCAGAGCACGGGGCCCCATCAAGCTCTGGTCACCAAGAAGCAGCTGAACGTCCCCATGAGCCCCCGGTGGTGGTGGCACAGCCCCAGCCCCAGCAAGGGGATGAGGCTCCTGTGGTCACACCAAAGGAAGGGCTCGAGGGACCCAGCGGGTCCATCCCCTGCCAGGACCACACAGAGGTGGAGCAGCCACAGGCAGGACCCAGCGTGAGCAGCTCCCATCCATCCATCAGTGATGGGCAGAGAGCGGCTGCTGAAGAGCTGGAGGCTGAGATTTGGCCCCAAGGAGCCCTGGATGGCCCAGCAGGAACCGTGTGCCAGGGGGAAGGCAGCAGCCAACCTGAGCCCCTTGGTCCCAGGGACATTGGGAAGGTCCCTGCAAGGAGCCGGAGCGAGGAGATGGCCCCGGTGGGCAGGAAGGCACAGGTCTGTGCTAGGGACAACCAGGCTGATTCCAGCATCAAAACAGGGATCTGCCTCTGGGAGGAGAGCAGGGGGGACCCTCAGCATCCCAGGGAAGAGCTGGGCATGGAGAAACCATCAGCAAACCCCTCGGAGCTGCTGGAGGGGCCTTTGGAGGGCAGGAGGGGCCAGGTTTGTCCATGGGAGACCCTGGAAGAGGGGAGGACCACGAGAGCAGCAACCGGCTCCTGGGACGCAGAGGGGGCTGAGCCAGAGCAAGAGGGGCAGGAAGCAGAGAGGAGACGGGTGGGTGAGCGGGGCAAGAGCATCAGGGCAAGGTCCCTGGGGGTGGTGGGAGCTCCGAAGCCACCCAAACCTGGTCCCAGCAGCTTCGAGCTGCCAGAAGGGATCCCAAAGAGCGCTCAGGCTTCGGTTTGTCCCTGGGAAGCGATGGGAGCTGATGGCGATGCAGGAGGGATTCGCCCTTGGGAAGGGGGAGCAGCCGCATCCAATGCAGGGAAAGCAGAGGATGGTGACACCTCCCAAGAGGAAAACGGGATTTCCCCACAGGCAGCAGCCCCAGGGGGCACGGGAGGGATGGGTTTGGCTGCAGACAAGGGGAGCACCCAGCAGGGATGTCCCTGTCCCGGGGAGGGTTCGGGGCAGCGCAGCACAGGGCCCGCAGCAGGACACCCAGCTCTGCCCAAAGCCGAATCCAAGCACGCAGGAGCCATGGGCAGCAGCAAGGCCAGCGTTTGTCCATGGGAAGCAGAGGCTGAGCCGCTTGCCAAGGCAGAAATCTGCCCCTGGGAAGAGCCTGAAGCTCCATGGGGGAAGGACAGAGCAAGGCAGGACACGCGTGGCACTTCCAAAGGGGGAAACAAACCGGCGACCAGAGGCCTGGAGGGCGTCAAAGCAAAGCTGGCAGAGGTGGGAGGCCATCACCCGGAGCACAGGAAGAGCAGGAGCTTCGCAAACCTCATTAGGAAAAGCATGGAGAGCCCAAAAGCCAAATCCAAGAAATCCCAGAGTGTGGAGAGCATCAAAGAGGAAGTTTGTCCATGGGAGAGCCTGGACAAGGAGCAGCCCATGGAGCATCCCCGTGCCAGGAGCCCAGCGCTGCCCAGAGCGCCTCCGAGAGCATCTGAGAGCAGGGAGAGCCTGAAGGCAGAGGTGTGTCCTTGGGAGGCTCCAGGGGCTCAGTCCATGGATAAAGCAGAGATCTGCCCCTGGGAGGTGGCCGCAGCTCCATCAGGTAAAGAGGAATCAAGGCAGGACAAGGATGCTCTGTCCATAGGGACAAAGAGCCCCTCCACAATGGAAGGTGCCTGCAAAGGGATTGGGCATCACAGGTCTGCAGAGGAGAAAGCAAGCGTGGAGAGCCTGAAGGCAGAGGTGTGTCCTTGGGAGGCTCCAGGGACTCAGTCCATGGACACAGCAGAGATCTGCCCTTGGGAGGTGGCCGCAGCTCCATCAGGTACAGAGGAACCAAGGCAGGACAAGGATGCTCTGTCCATAGGGACAAAGAGCCCCTTGCCAAGGGAAGGTGCCTTCAAAGGGACTGGACACAGCACACCTGCAGAGGAGAAAGCAAGCGTGGAGAGCCTGAAGGCAGAGGTGTGTCCTTGGGAGGCTCCAGGGGCTCAGTCCATGGACACAGCAGAGATCTGCCCCTGGGAGGGGGCTGCAGCTCCATCAGCTACAGAGGAATCAAGGCAGGACAAGGATGCTCTGTCCATAGGGAGAAAGAGCCCCTCCACAAGTGAAGGTGCCTTCAAAGGTATTGGTTATCATACGTCTGCAGAGGAGAAAGCAATCGTGGAGAGCCTGAAGGCAGAGGTGTGTCCTTGGGAGGCTCCAGGGGCTCAGTCCATGGACAAAGCAGAGATCTGCCCCTGGGAGGGGGCTGCAGCTCCCTCGCAGCAGCTGAAGCCAAAGCAGGGCCCTGGGGGGGTGCCCAAGGGGGACAAGCGCATCAGGCGCCAGGCAGCGCTGGCCAGCCCAGGGAGAGCCCTGGAGAGGGGCAGCAGCAAGCGAGAGGCTGCGTGTCCATGGGAGAGCCTGGACAAGGAGCAGCCCATGGAGCATCCCCGTGCCAGGAGCCCAGCGCTGCCCAGTGCACCTCCAAGAGCATCCCAGAGTGGGGAGAGCCTGAAGGCAGAGGTGTGTCCTTGGGAGGCTCCAGGGGCTCAGTCCATGGACAAAGCAGAGATCTGCCCCTGGGAGGTGGCTGCAGCTCCAACAGCTACAGAGGAACCAAGGCAGGACAAGGATGCTCTGTCCATAGGGAGAAAGAGTCCCTCCACAATGGAAGGTGCCTGCAAAGGGATTGGGCATCACAGGTCTGCAAAGGAGAAAGGAAGTGTGGAGAGCTTGAAGGCAGAGGTGTGTCCTTGGGAGGCTCCAGGGGCTCAGTCCATGGATAAAGCAGAGATCTGCCCTTGGGAGGTGGCCGCAGCTCCATCAGGTAAAGAGGAATCAAGGCAGGACAAGGATGCTCTGTCCATAGGGACAAAGAGCCCCTTGATAAGGGAAGGTGCCTTCAAAGGGATTGGACACAGCAGACCTGCAAAGGAGAAAGGAAGTGTGGAGAGCCTGAAGGCAGAGGTGTGTCCTTGGGAGGCTCCAGGGGCTCAGTCCATGGACAAAGCAGAGATCTGCCCCTGGGAGGGGGCTGCAGCTCCATCAGGTACAGAGGAATCAAGGCAGGACAAGGATGCTCTGTCCATAGGGATGAAGAGCCCCTCCACAATGGAAGGTGCCTTCAAAGGGACTGGACACAGCACACCTGCAGAGGAGAAAGCAAGCATGGAGAGCCTGAAGGCAGAGGTGTGTCCTTGGGAGGCTCCAGGGGCTCAGTCCATGGACAAAGCAGAGATCTGCCCTTGGGAGGGGGCTGCAGCTCCCTCGCAGCAGCTGAAGCCAAAGCAGGGCTCTGGGGGGGTGCCCAAGGGGGACAAGCGCATCAGGCGCCAGGCAGCGCTGGCCAGCCCAGGGAGAGCCCTGCAGAGGGGCAGCAGCAAGCGAGAGGCTGCGTGTCCATGGGAGAGCCTGGACAAGGAGCAGCCCATGGAGCATCCCCGTGCCAGGAGCCCAGCGCTGCCCAGAGCGCCTCCGAGAGCATCTGAGGGCAGGGAGAGCCTGAAGGCAGAGGTGTGTCCTTGGGAGGCTCCAGGGGTTCAGTCCATGGATAAAGCAGAGATCTGCCCCTGGGAGGTGGCCGCAGCTCCATCAGGTACAGAGGAACCAAGGCAGGACAAGGATGCTCTGTCCATAGGGAGAAAGAGCCCCTCCACAAGGGAAGGTGCCTGCAAAGGGATTGGGCATCACAGGTCTGCAAAGGAGAAAGGAAGTGTGGAGAGCCTGAAGGCAGAGGTGTGTCCTTGGGAGGCTCCAGGGACTCAGTCCATGGATAAAGCAGAGATCTGCCCCTGGGAGGTGGCCGCAGCTCCATCAGGTAAAGAGGAAGCAAGGGAGGACAAGGATGCTCTGCCCATAGGGATGAAGAGCCCCTGCACAATGGAAGGTGCCTTCAAAGGGACTGGACACAGCACACCTGCAAAGGAGAAAGGAAGTGTGGAGAGCCTGAAGGCAGAGGTGTGTCCTTGGGAGGCTCCAGGGGCTCAGTCCATGGACAAAGCAGAGATCTGCCCCTGGGAGGTGGCTGCAGCTCCATCAGGTAAAGAGGAATCAAGGCAGGACAATGATGCCCTGTCCATAGGGACAAAGAGCCCCTCGACAAGTGAAGGTGCCTGCAGAGAGATTGGGCACAGCACACCTGCAAAGAAGAAGAAAGCAAATCTCGACCTTGAGTCCATCTGCCCCTGGGAGAGCCTGGACACGGAGGAGCAATCCCTGAGAACAACAGGAAAAGAGCCATCCAAGAAGTCCGACAGCAGAGAGAGCAGGAAAGCTGAGATTTGCCCCTGGGAAGCAGCAGAGCCCAGTGGCTCAGAGAAGGAACTCCCACAGGGAGCTGATGGAGCATCCTCCCCTGGGATGGGAGAGTCAAAGGTGGTGCTGGCAGCCAGCACCGTGTCTCCAGCAGCCCCAAGGAAGAAACCCAAGGGCAGACCTGGCAGCGAGGCCAAGCACAAGCCCCTGAGCCGCATCCAGCCCCGGCGGGGCCCTGGGGCAGAGCTGCTGCCTTGGGCAGCGGGTACAGCCCCTGGGACAGGCAGCAGCCCCAGCCCAGCTGGGGTTTGTCCCTTGGAAGCAGAAGAGGCTCCACCAGCAGATGACAAGACCAGCACAGATGGGAGGAAAACCTCAGCGGTGTGTCCATGGGAGATGGAGAGTGCGGATGCCACCCGGAGTGGAACCAAAGCAGACATCTGCCCTTGGGACCATGAGTAGCTCCCTCCTGCCAGGGCCATCAGCCAGCTGCAGACATGGTTTTCATGAACACAAGGTCTTGAGCTGAAGGCCGATGCCCAATGGCACAGCCCAAGCAGGGACAGAAGTGTCCAGCGAAGCCAATGGCATGGCCATGCTTCCAGAAGTCACTGGTGGTGGCCTTGGGGACCAGTGCAGTGAGGGGACAATGAACATCTCCTACCTTCATCAAGCTCTCCAGATGGGTGCAAACACCACCCATCATTTTCCCACAGGTAGGTGCCCCAGTGCAGGGTCCCTGCGGTCCAAGCAGGCACCTGAATATGTTAAAATACATAGGGAAGAGTCAAACCAGGGCAGGAAGATGATGCAGCAGGGGAGGAAGCCAGCTTCCCCCAGTGAAGGTTTTAGCTCTCTCTGAATCCACACAAGGCTCAGAGCTCGTTCTGCTGTTCCTTTGTTGTTTGATTGCACTCTCCTTAGAAAGGGATGCTGGTGTCATGTGCTGTCTGTGGTCTTCAGCACTGAGTGTTCCACGATCATCCGATGGTGTAAGTAAGTGTACATACAGACAATAAAACATATTATCTACAGAGCACACGCTTTAGTGGCTGGTTTATGGGCTGTGGGCAAGATACTGAACATGCTCAAGAAAGAGGTACAGCAGAAAGCAGCGAGGCTGGAAAGGAAACCCAGAAACACAAGTGGGTGAGTTGCAGAGGTTTGAATAATGGCAAAGCTGATGGGGAGCCACACATTGGCAGACTGGAAGGAAAGGCCTTTCTCCCTGGAAAAACACAGCTACTCCACCAGAAAACTCAACTCTTCTCATCCAGAGCCAAAGAACCTGGTCTGCAGGTCCTGGTTGAGGAGCCACATCCATACCTGCTCGTGAGCTGCCCAGACACCAGCCAGGCAGCTCATCTGGGTTTATTTTAGCTCCCATATGCTGGAGCACTGAATCTCTCCTCGGCTCATGAAGGAAGTGTAGGCAGAAGACTCAGTATAGTAGGTTCCTTCAGGAAAGGCAGACAGATTGTGACACCCCTCTGACTTCCCAAAAAGATGACAGGGATTCCATTGCTGGCTCCTCTCCTAACAGAGCATAGGGATGATACTCTGCCCTTTCAAAAGGACACAGAAACACTGAACATGGAAGCATCAGGAGCCATAACTCTTTCAAACAGCACACTCTGTACGAGAAAGAAGGAAACAATGCTCCTAACTCATAAGCTCTGGAAAATGGCTGAGTTAAAAAGCAAGACACGGCTGAAGAAAATGCTTTGTTACCTGATAACCAGCAAGTATTTTGCTCTGTAAATGGAACTCACCTGAGCAAAGCAGAGCAAGAACAGATTAGCCTTGCCTTGCTCTCAGCTATGGAAAAAGGAAACCTGTGGGTACGCATTTTCCCAACCCACTCAGCCTGCAAAACCAGGGCCCTGATGGCAATGTCATTGTGTCCACAGGATGGTGCCAGCCACTCACTGCCACCACCCCACTGTTGAATTCAGGAGCAGCTCTAACTAATGCTCCAAAACTCATCAGCAAAGACAAATGCTCTTTCAAGAAGGCAAAAGATTTTATTAAGTTATCAATGCTGTGCTGCAGCCCCTCTGGGAAGCTGGGCCCTTCACAAGCATTCACTCAGCAAGAGTCCAACTGCAGCACCCACCCAGGAGAACGTGATTTCAAGTGTGCTTGCCTGTTCTGCCCAGTTTTCTGTCTGGGAATCACTACAGAGAGGATGGGAAAAGAAAGCGCTGATGCCTACTGCAAGTTTGAATGAAAGGCCAGCAGGTCTATGCCACTTCCCATGGCAGAGGCAAATACCCCATGTGTGAACAGAGTGCTGCTGCCAAGGGCTCCTTTCGCAGGGCAAGCTCAGGACAGGGTTAGCCTTGAGAGCACTCCTGAAGAGAACAGACTTCTTGTCTTCACAGAAACACAGAGAGGGTTAAGCTGCAGCACACTATGTCTACCTGGAGTAAAGCTCTTCTGAAAGCTCACCTGAATCCCCTTGCCAAGCCCCTCTTGTTCTTTAAAGACACATTCTTAGCGAGCAGAGTCCATTTCTGAAACTGCTTTGTTTGCTGACTGCTCACTGGAAAGGCACAGCCATATCCAAGCTGTTACCTCCACGTTCATTCTCCACTTCTTCCCTAAAGGGTTGCTTGCATAGGCTGTCTCTGTACAGGCTCTGGAACTTCCTACTTCATTTCTTCGTACTCTTGTGAGGGATCCAAGGTTGGGCCAGGAATCAGCACCGTCTGAAAAAGCAGGGAGCAAAATCAGCATGACACAGAGCAGCTCTGAACTGCTGCGATCGGAATTCTTCATGTTGCAGTGCATGCAAAGGGGTGAGCAGCAGGTCCTGGCAACGCAAAGGCCTCGCACACAGGAGAGGACCAGATGGCAGCAGCACGGGGGAAGGACACAGGGGAAATAGGATGATATGCCTTCTACAACAGGATAGTTCTCACCTCCTTCCCCTCTAGGACCTGGTTTTAGTTAACACAGGAAGACTGAGCGCCTGCATGGCTTTGCCTGGCAGTGTGTGCAGGGAGCAGTAACCCCCTAAACTATCACATACATGACAAATGCCCTCAGCCTCCTATTAGAGCTTCCAGGTGCTAGAGGTTGATAATGCCACATTAATAAACAGGTCTGCTTGCAGATTAATCCACCACCTTCCTGTCACAGGAAACTCAGCTTTGGTTTTGTCCAGAATTATCCAGGGACCACATCAGTGCCTTTTCCTAGTGGCATTACCTTCACAATGGGGTCCTTTGGAGGAGCCCACTTGGGAACGATCTTGCCATGCATCCTCCACGTGCCGTACGGGTTCACCAAGTACTTCTCAAACACAACATACTCCAGAACGTCCTTGGGCACCTCCTCCCCACCATACATCAGCCTCCCAAAGCGGTCATAGATGGCCAGAATCTGTAAAATAAACCAAGTTATGCTGGGCTGGCAGGAGGCTGGAGGCAGCTGGGGAACACGAGGAGCACAAGGGGATGTACCTGCCGCATGTGCATCCGCACCGTCACCTGCCCGTAGAGGTTGCCTCGGTTCACAATGCTCTCGCATCGAACATGAACCACCCTTGGGGGCTCCAGTGACTCCACAAACTTCCACCGGATCGTTCTGTACCTGTTCCCACGGACCATCTCCTGTAAGGGAAAAGAAATAAGCACCAACATAATGAGGATGTGAATTGAATCATAGAATCACAGCCTGGCTTGGGTTGGAAGCGAGCTTAAAGCGAGTTCCAACCCCCTGCCATGGGCAGGGACACCTTCCACTAGAGCAGCTTGCTCCAAGCCCCTGTGTCCAACCTGGCCTTGAGCACTGCCAGGGATGGGGCAGCCACAGCTTCTCTGGGCACCCTGTGCCAGCGCCTCAGCACCCTCAAAGTAAAGAATTTCTTCCTTCTATCTAACCTAAATCTCCTCTGTTTAAGTGTGATCTCTACTGCTGAAGTTTGAAATAACAAGCATAGTACTATATACAATGAAGCTCATATTGTGCTTTCCCTTCCAGCTCTGTCTCTACTGTATCCAGAGCAAAATGAGACAGATGGTCAGGTTTAAAGCCTTAAACACCATGCAAGAGATGAAGGACAAGCTGCATCCACAGGACCACTTACCGGGTAGCAGCGCTCTGTCACCAGGGAGTGAAGTTTCTGCTTGTTAAAACTGCAAGTGAAATACACCCAGTTACTTGAATATGCTTATTGTGAAGAGGCTTCCTCAGCTCCCTGCTTCCCCACAAGACTCAATCTACTGGCAAAACAGAAAAAGCAAACTCCTCAGCTGCCAACTCAGCACAAAATCAGGATCCATCATCACCTCATATCCCAACAATTCCCTGCAGCGTGATCCTGAACAGCACCAAGCACGCACTCATCTGCCAGTGACACAGAGCCTTGGGTGCCATGGTTTAGTGTGAGGTGTCCCTGCCCATGGCAGGGGGGGTGGAACGGGATGATCTTAAGGTCCTTTCCAACCCTAACTATTCTATGACTCTATGACACTCGAGGTGCAACAGCTCATCTCTCCTGCAGGGCAGGTGGGGGGATTTCCTGCAACCTGCCTTTCCTTATCAAAATGAACAGGTCCTGCCCAAATTCCCAACATTCTCCTCCTCTCAGATGGGGGCAGGAAAAGATCTAGTACCTGTGGCAGAGGAGGTACAAGGATCAGAAAGACAAGGAGGAAAAGCAGAGTATATTAGCAAAGAGCAGCAGGTTCTACCTAACTGCATCAGTCAGAGAAAGGGTCTTACTTTGCCAGGTAATTGTGAGCTTCAATAAATATCTCCTGTGCCTTCTCTGGGAAGGTTTTAGTGCTGAAATCCAGATCATGATCTTTTATCTTCCGCAGACTGAAAAGATAAGAAAAGCTTTACTGTAAGGAAAGAACAACTTGGAACCATCTTGCGTGTTTCAGATGATGACAATGCTCTTAATTCAGCTCAAGCCCAGCTTCTACCAGGGAGCAGCTGAGAACTGGAGACTCCCCACTAAGCCATAACCTCTGGTTGCCTGTAAAATGCACACAGGGCTGCATACCCAAAGGATCCTCAAGAAAGTTGGGGCTGTTCAGCCTAGAGAAAAGAAGGATGGATGGAGACCTCATAGCAGCCTTCCAGTGTCTGAAGGGGGCCTATAGGGATGCTGGAGAGGGAGTCTTCATTAGGGACTGTAGTGACAGGACAAGGGGTAACGGGTTAAAACTTAAACAAGGGAAGGAAGAAGTTCTTTACTGTGAGGGTGCTGAGGCACTGGAATGGGTTGCCTAGGGAAGTTGTGAATGCTTCATCCCTGGCGGTGTTCGAGGCCAGGGTGGACAGAGCCTTGGGTGAGATGGTTTAGTGTGAGGTATCCCTGCCCATGGCAGGGGGGTTGGAACTGGATGATCTTAAGGTCCTTTCCAACCCAAACCATTCTATGAATCTATGAAAATGAGTGCACATGATACATGAGGACAGGAGCCTGGTGTTCACTCTCACACCAGGGACTCCTGGCTAAGTGGTACCACAGCAACAATGGAAGAAGAGGGTACAGAACAACCCCCCCCCCCAGTCTCACCCTGCAAGACAAAAGCAAGCAAAACGTCTGCACCACAGACTGATTAAAAAGGAGGCAGCACGTACGCAAGCTGGGAGGCAGCAGTCTGCTTCAGCTTCTGCATCTTCTGCATCACCCCGTCTTTGGATAGGGACGTCAGGCGGGCATCACCTTCAGGAGGGACGTAGGGGTCTATAATATCGGCTGCAGGAGAGAAGAAAGGTCAGGAGGAGGCTGGAAAACAGGAAAAGGAAGGAAACAAAGGGGCAGCACCCTGGCTGCTGGGAGCTGGGATTCCACCCTGATAACATGTTAGTAATATGAAATATGAGCATGCAGAGTTTCTAGTCTAAGCTTGTCAACAGTGACAGACACCTGCTTTCTACCCTCCTCTTCCATACAACACAGGTGGATAAGACACATCCAGCAGCAAGGAATGTGACCTTCCTCCCTATTCCTCATCCCTAGGGCCGAAGGGCCAACAGCCTGGCACACTTCGGAGGTGAAGGGCAGGTGCCACCCCTCACCAGGAGCCCGTGTGCACAGTTCAGTCTACTGCAGGCACTGTCACCATGGTCACTCTGCTCAGACTCATCGCTCCACGCTGGGAGCACAGGAGGATGCTGTGCATTAGCTAAGGGCGACCAAAGCAGAGGTTCTGCCACCTGTGGAAGCCATGTAGAACATCCGCTCCATGCGGTCCTCAGGAATTGTCGCCACCAAAGCCCGCAGCCTCTTCT